CTGTATTAGATGTAAAACACCAACCTGTACATAAAGAATACTTAAGTGTAACACTCCATATTAAAAATAATGGTTGATTCCATATTTAAGTTGTGATATAGTATCATTGTATATTTAATATGTATGTTACACTCCCGGGAATAACAAATGGTCAGTCTATTCAACTGCTTCGTACTATCGATAACTCGGATGGTCAGCTCGAAGTCGCTATCTGTGACGTAACGTATTACCCGCTGTGGACCAATATAAGTGCTGCGAAAAGAAATAATAAGATGGTTATAACAGATAAACAAAATCTTATTGAAAAATTCATTACTATACCTGATGGGTATTACAGCGTATGCTCACTCAATGATGAAATTTTTAAGCCTAATGGAATTAGTATCACACAAAATGAGTCGAATGGGACAGTGAAAATCGGCACTGGAGAAAAAGGTGTACGGATTGAAATGAACTTATCAGCTACACTTGGATTTACACGATTTTCACAAGGAATTATATCATTATTCAGGGCAACATCTGATGAAGATACATTACCCTATTTAGTTCCCTATAAGGAGTTGTGCATCCATCTTGATCAAATAAGCACGACAAATAATATTCAACTAGAAAGTCCTTCAACTTTGCTCAGATGTGTTCCAGTGCAAAATGAAAAATATAATAGCGGTAGAACGGAATCTTTCTCGTCATTACAATATAAAAAATTAAAGCGTGGTATTATTTCAGACCTCAAAATTTCTATATTAGATGTAAAATACCAACGTGTACATATAGGATACTTAAGTGTAACACTCCATATTATAAATAATGATTGATGCATCAGGCCCTGGAACGCTCAGACAATGTAATACAATTGCGCTTTCCGATCTCGGAGACACAGAAGGATTTGATAAACTTGGTACCAATGGTAAGTTATACGCTTTACACTTACACGATAATGTAAACAAGCGGAAAGAAGTTACATTCATTGGTAATCTAGAAGATTTAAGCGATGTCGACGTTAGTAGACTCATCAAAAACACTTTGTACAATATTATTCGCAACGACGATAATAAATGGACTATGGTCGACGCAAACATCGAGTGGCTACTGAATATCGTCATTACCCCACCTTATGCGATGATGGGTAAGGGCCATAATTTAACTAAGATAATAAATAGTGGCATCGTACTCGCGGCTTATATCCCATCAAAACGAAAAAGTGTGTTAGTTACCCCCCTGCCAGAAAACCCAGGTCATATGTTATATAGTCGTCCGGCCTTAAAAAATGTTAGTTTAAATTTGGTTACTGAATTTGAAGGTATTAAAGTTAACCTGAGTGCAATACCTAATATTTCTACTCTTATTATTGAAGTCTTGTTCGGAGATGTACCGGAAGATGCCTTCGAAATATTACCAGGTCTATCGATTAAATGGCTAAAGAAACACCAACGTCAACGTTGCAGTATTATTCATATCGGAGCATCGCCGGTTGCAACCCTCGAGGGGGTCCAAATTATTAAAAGTGGTAGTATTTCTCTTACTAAGATATTCTTGCCGTATAATATTAATTTGATAAGGTTGATGTATACTCTCAAAACATTTAAGCAAGACCAATTAAAGACTATTATATGATCGTAATTTACACTATGAGTTTATATCTGGCGCTCGATGAGGCATTTGAAAAGATGGATACTGTTGATGGATTTCGATTACATCAAATAAGCGACATAAAACATCGAATAGAGAAGGATAGGGAGTTGAGACTTGGATTGTATAAAAAGTATCGCAGAGCCGTGAATGCTCTGGACGGAGTTGACACCGCGCTTGTAGCAGCTGGCATGGGACTCGGTATAGCCAGTGTCGGTTTACTATCAACTATAATCGCCGCGCCGATCGTGCTCAGCATGGAAATAGCCGCTGGAGTCTCGGGACTGGCAGGAATAGCGATAAAATTCATTTCTCGTAGGTTACAAATGAAAGCATTAAATCACGATAGTATTCGGATACTCACCGAAGCAAAGTTTAACAGCATTGAGGATCATATTTCGACAGCAATGGTTGATTGTAAGATATCCGAGGATGAGTTTCGTTTAGTGCTGTCGGAACTCACCAAATACAACGCAGTGAAGCAGGAGATTCGATCAAAATCTCGTAAGACCAGTGCTATTAGCGAAGACGAGAAAAAAAAGTTCATAGAACAGGGGAGGCAACAAGCGCGTCAATTATTCCGTGCCAAAACCAAAGAACTGGTTGGAGATTAAAAATAGATTGCTTACTATCGTTAGATTACATTTAGACAAATGCTTACATAAATATATATAATAATGGAGATCGAAAAAGCTATTAAATGGAGAGAATTACCACAAGGTTTTTATTATATCAGTGATGTCAAACCAACCAAATACGGTTATCAATTGTTTCTTATCAATTTACAAGAAGAGTGTAATTATATAGTCTGGTCTCCTAGTAAAATGAACGAAGAACTTAATAAAAATGTTGAATATTGCTTTATTGATAAAAATAATGAAGAATATTTTTATTACCATTTAGGCTCATCTAAAGCAATGATTGGCCCCAGGTATTGGTGAGCTAGAGCCAGTTTAACTTAATCTCATGACTATCGCTGAATCGCATAATCATTTTAGCATAAAAAATGCCACCTGTAGTAGCAGTTTAGGTATATAAATCCGGCTCCAGTGGAAGTGGTCCAGTACCATCATTACCTTTAAAAATTTATATCATAGACTCCAGGTGGTGGTGAGCTAGAGCCAATTTAACTTAATCTCATGACTATCATTGAATCGCATAATCATTTACATATAAAAAATTCCACCTGTAGTAGCAGTATAGGTATATAAATCCGGCTCCAGTGGAGTTGCGGCAGAACCATCATTACCTATACTACTGAAGGGATGGGTGTCACTGTATACAGAAGGGAAGGGTGTCACTGTGTACAGAAGGGAGGGTGTCACTGTATACAGAAGGGAAGGGTGTCACTGTGTACAGAAGGGAGGGTGTCACTGTATACAGAAGGGAGGATGTCACTGTACACAGAAGGGAAGGGTGTCACAGTGTACAGAAGGGAAGAATATCACTGTGTACAGAAAGGAGGGTGTCACTGTATACAGAAGGGAGGGTGTCACAGTTAACAGAAGGGAAGGATGTCACTGTGTACAGAAGGGAGGGTGTCACTGTATACAGAAGGGAAGGATGTCACAGTGTACAGAAGGGAAGGATGTCACTGTATACAGAAGGGAAGGATGTCACTGTATACAGAAGGGAAGGTAGTCACTGTGTACAGAAGGGAGGGTTCTACAGTGTACAGAAGGGAAGAGTGTCACTGTAAACAGAAGGGAAGGGTGTCACTGTATACAGAAGGGAAGGGTGTCACTGTGTACAGAAGTGAAGGGTGTCACTGTAAACAGAAGGGAAGGGTGTCACTGTATACAGAAGGGAAGGGTGTCACTGTGTACAGAAGTGAAGGGTGTCACTGTGTACAGAAGGGAAGGATGTCACTGTATACAGAAGGGAGGGTGTCACAGTGTACAGAAGGGAAGGGTGTCACAGTGTACAGAAGGGAGGGTGTCACAGTGTACAGAAGGGAAGGGTGTCACTGTATACAGAAGGGAAGGATGTCACTGTATACAGAAGGGAAGGGTGTCACTGTATACAGAAGGGAGGGTTCTACAGTGTACAGAAGGGAAGAGTGTCACTGTATAGAGAAGGGAGGGTGTCACTGTATACAGAAGGGAAGGGTGTCACTGTAAACAGAAGGGAAGGGTGTCACTGTATACAGAAGGGAGGGTGTCACAGTGTACAGAAGGTAAGGGTGTCACTGTGTACAGAAGGGAAGGATGTCACTGTTTACAGAAGGGAAGGGTGTCACTGTATACAGAAGGGAAGGGTGTCAGTGTATACAGAAGGGAAGGGCGTCACTGATTACAGAAGGGAAGGATGTCACAGTGTACAGAAGGGAAGGGTGTCACTGTATACTGAAGGGAAGGGTGTCACTGTATACAGAAGGGAAGGATGTCACAGTATTCAAAAGGGAAGGGTGTCACTGTATACAGAAGGGAAGGGTGTCACTGTATACAGAAGGGAGGGTGTCACAGTGTAAAGAAGGGAAGGGTGTCACTGTATACAGAAGGGAGTGTGTGACTGTATACAGAAGGGAAGGGTGTCACTGTATACAGAAGGGAAGGATGTCACAGTATACAGAAGGGAAGGGTGTCACTGTATACAGAAGGGAAGGGTGTCACTGTATACAGAAGGGAGGGTATCACAGTGTAAAGAAGGGAAGGGTGTCACTGTATACAGAAGGGAGGGTGTCACTGTATACAAAAGGGAAGGGTGTCACTGTATACAGAAGGGAGGGTGTTACTGTATTCAGAAGGGAAGGATGTCACTGTGTACAGAAGGGAAGGGTGTCACTGTATACAGAAGGGAAGGGTGTCACTGTATACAGAAGGGAAGGGTGTCACTGATTACAGAAGGGAAGGATGTCACAGTGTACAGAAGGGAAGGGTGTCACTGTATACAGAAGGGAAGGATGTCACAGTATACAGAAGGGAAGGGTGTCACTGTATACAGAAGGGAAGGGTGTCACTGTATACAGAAGGGAGGGTTTCACAGTGTAAAGAAACGAAGGGTGTCACTGTTTACAGAAGGGAAGGGTGTCACTGTATACAGAAGCGAAGGGTGTTATTCAGTGCAAGTAGAAGGTGAAGACACAAAAGGAGGTATACAGATACAAGGGTTGATTGAGTTGATTGAGGTTTTGAGCCTCACATAGAAGGAATTGCCCACAAGTGAAAGCTGTTGAGGTGGACATCACATGGCAGTTGGGCAACTTGTGTCACTGTGACAAGTCAGTAAATAACCCAGGGTCTTTCAACTTTGGAAGATGGACACACTTGAGGAACATAAATTTGTTGTTACTTTTTCTTCTACTTAAATGCTTGGTGTTCATTTTGAAATCGTGGAACATTTCCTTGAGTGCTGCATGTTTTGTATCGCAGGCCAGTCGAACAACCCAGCACAATCTTCAAGGCTTGGGAATGCCTCCTGCAGGAATCAGAGATGGATGCACAAGTAAGTTCTTCAGAAAAGGACACTGAGCAGGAAATTGTCTTATGTCCATGTCTTATTTCTGGGTAAAAAGGTACAGTATTCAAATGAGCATGTTGCCTTGTCACTGTCACAAGTGTACAAAGGATTTTGAGTAATGATTTGTGCTGAGGTTATTGGCACTTTGTACTAAAATTTAAAATTAACATTAAGGAAAAGAACTAAAAGTTGGCCTTTTAAATGCAAAACTGTGGAAATGAGGAAATGAGTTCAAGGCTTGCTGTCAGATTTGTTATCTAAGTCTTCCAAGTATCATTTCCTACATCTTTATTGTCAAAAGACATTCCAACACAGGGCTGATATTTTTATGTTTATGTTTATGTAGAAAAATGACGATATTATTCACTTGAGATCAAGAAAAGATTATTCCCAGTTGACAATAATGTATACCTATATCAGTGTGCATGAACCAAAATCAGATGCTTAGAAAGAATTTATAGTAGTAGTAACAGTAGTAATAGTAGTGGTGATGGTAGTTGTTTTGGTAGCAGTAGTAGTTGTGTGTGTGTGAGTGTGTGTGTGCGTGTGCATGTTTGTGAGTGTGAATGCGTGCATGCATACATGCAAAATCTGGGCTGTAAAGATGCAAAAATGTTTCTGAAACAATTCTTCTACAAGTGTGTATCAGTGCCAGTGTCTCCACCCCAGCAATCTTCAATACCAGTTTCTATATGAAGGTCCACAAGTATCCATAAATTATTGCCAAATGCTTTTAGCTAAATTCTTGATAACTCTTAACGCTGGCCAATGCGTGTTTTATTGACAATGCACGTGTGGTGATATATTTGGTGTATTTCACATACAGAAAGCAAGCACCCCCAGTATGTCTTCATTGTTTGTTGTGTTACAGGCTCACCTTGATGCAGCAAGCCTGTTGATCAAGAATGTTTACAAACCATTAGAGATGGTTGCATCCTACAAGAGCAGCCAGGCACAGAAGCTCTGCTCTTTCAGGGATAATTTTGAAAACATCCTAAGCAAGTCAGAAAATAGCCTACAACAGGTAATATTACAAAAGAAATTATGTGTCACTTGTCTCCAACACTCACTTGGCTGTTAAATACAACTTTAAATACTTTATATCACACAAAAATAAACTTTACTGTTTTGATTCCTTGTGAACTTACCTGCTTTGAACATCCTGAGAACAACTGTCAGTGGCTTGTGGTGATGTTATACCTCGATCAGCACTGTTGTATATGCAGTTGAATCTATCTCAGACTTGTGAGGCAGTGAAAGTTTAGTCAGGTACAGAGGGACGTCTAATTATCCATTGTTTTGAATTTAAACTTAGTTAGTTCTTTGTAATTGAAAGCCCTATTTATAGTAACCTTTGCATATTTGTTTAACAATTGGTGCGAGTTACTTGCACTTTAAACCGTTGTACAGTTATTATTGAAACACCCCATGCAAAGTAACCTGCCTTGTCAAAGTTGACAAGGCAAGAGAAATAAGAAAGGCATATGTTGGGTTCAAGGTCATAGGTGTGGCAGGACTTGTGGGCTGCCCTAAGCTATTGTTATAATGAATTATATTTGCCAACTTGAGTTACCAGCAAGCAGCAAGCAGCAGCAGCAGCAGCAGCAGCAATGGGCAACTATGTTGCCAGCAGCAAAATACTAAGTTTCTGCTGAAAAGCAGACATGAATTAAGTTAAGCCTAAAGGTTCCCATCCGCTGAGAAGCAGAGGGACTGAACAGATTCCCGCTGATGAGCAGGGACCTGATAATTTTGATGATTACTTGGTGATTAAGTAAGTATTTACATTTGTAGCCCACAAGAACCATGCCAACAGCACGCATGTGCTAAGCCCACACCAAAGACCATGAACCATGAGGGACCCCCCTAACTAGCCACAGACGAAAGAATTAAGTGTGACTTACTTTTCTTTATACTTACTACCTACATTTGGCATAGGGCTTCGCGGATTGCGCTTGTGAAAATTTGGAGTCCCTTGACTGATAGATGGACTCCATCCCAAACATATAGGGAACTATCACCAGCGCAAATCTTGGGATGCTGGATATGCTTCCCCCCAAGCTCCCTGACATGGTTGCCCAACCGTCTGTTGACCTTTTTCCTAGCAATTTCCACTGCATCGTAGCAATTGGCTCCTTGCCAATGCCTCCTTGGTAGCATGTCAGACCAAAGGATGGTGGTCTGGGCCATTAGCAGGTGGAGCCTCAACATAGCCAGGTGAATGTCCAGGTACAGCTGGCTGGCCTTCCTCTTACAAATATCGTTTGAGCCCAGATGTATAAGTATGGCTCTGGGATGCTGGCCAGTCCTTTCTAGCTGTCGCTCGACCAGGGGCATTAGCTCCTGCTCCTGCCACACCATCCCACCGCGAGCCATCCACAAGTAGTTGGAAGGCCAGCCAGACCGGCTCTCTACCAGAAAGCGTTGGGCCCGGGCCAGGTAACTTGACCCTATCAGCCACACTGAAAGCAACACAAACAAGGCACAGTGGAATGGTCACGATTAAACAATGCAGTCAAGTACACATTTTAGGTATGTGGATATATGATCTAAAGGAATCTGACCCCCATCTACCAAGCTGTTTGATTAAGTCTTGACTCATACCATTGACTGCTGCTGAGGTAGCTGCACCTATTCTGAAAGAATGAGAAGAGAAATCATTTGCGGTGAAGCCGCTGTGCGCCAAAGCCTTCTTTAGAATTGCCTAAAACTGATATCTTGATAGAACTGTGTTGTCAAAGTGAACAAACGCTGTGTCAGCGCCAGTTGGGCGGTCATGGAAATAACCCTTGACTGCTGTGACTGGGCACAGAGGATGATGTGGAATAGCTGTAAGTGTGATTGAAACCCCGTTTTGAGCCCTGTCACCTTTGGAGTGCCTAAGGATGAATGTTACCTGTCCCTGATCTGCTTGTAATGTTATGTCCTTCATTGCAATGCCCAATTGGCCTGGTTTACTTTGAACCAGCTCACCTGCTCTGAAAAATCCAAAGAAAGCAGCGGAAAACACAGCTGTGTAGAGTTTGGTTTCAAAGGTTGACGTGCAAATAAAAGGTAAACTTGAAATAATGGCTTGGAGCAAATTGACCGTTATAGGTTTGCGAGTGTCGGAGTTGCGCTTGCCCTTACTCATACCAGATATGAGCTTACGCACCAAGAAATGATCAGTGCAGTCCAACATGCCTCTAAGCTTATGGTAGGTAGATATAGCAGAAACATAGGTTCTTACCGTATTAATGGAGAATCCCTTCACTGACATATAAGCAATGAAGTTGACGTGGTCAATTGGGACTGGCCATACCTGGGACAGCCCATGTGTTGTTCTAAAACCCTGCAGCACCTCAACGGCTGTCTGGTATGTTGACCATGTGTTACTGGCCAATGACTGTTTAAGTAGTCTTCGCGCCTCCTCATTTAGAACATCCATATGTTGTGTGGCAGCGGCATTGGAGCCAGGTCTGCTGTTGGTGCTGCTTCCCGAAAACGTGCCCACTGGAATCTCGAGAGAGCATCAGCAATAACATTTGCGTTTGTATTAATATACTTAGCTTTAAAAAGAATGTTGTGCCTGAGGCATAGCAAAACCAGTTGTCTGACCAAAGCCATAGTTCTTGGAACCTTACAGGACTGCTTGTTGATGATGTGAACTACTGCCTGGTTATCACAATAGAAAAGTACCCTCTTGTTCGCGAGTGACTTACCCCAGAGTCTGACAGACAGTACAATTGGAAATAACTCTAACAAAGTCAAGTCCTTGGTCATGAGTGTGTCAATCCATTGTCGTGGCCAATGACCACTCGCCCAGTGACCCTGGAAATAAGCCCCAAAACCTGCACTGCCTGCTGCGTCAGTGAAAAGCTGCAATGTACTATTGTCATCCAACTGAGCTTGCTGAAAGATCGAGACGCCATTATAATAGGTAAGAAACTCTAGCCAGATAGACAGATCTTCTTTCAACCCCTTTGTGAGACGTATGTGATGGAATGTAGATTGGACTCTGCACATTTGATTTATCAACCTGCGACAGAAAGCCCGACCCATGGGGATTGCCCTGCAAATACCGTATATCGCTGTGTATAAGGCGACCCCATGTATAAGACGACCCCCCTGTACATGCCTTCAAAATCAACCCAAAATCCTATACTCCGTGTATAAGGCGACCTGGAATGAAGCACATCACAAGTGCGCACACAAACCTTATATATGCAATAAAAATATGTGTATCTTGCGTTGTTTTTTCTACAATGATAGGTCGCGTGTGTAACTCCAGCACACGTCGCCATTTTGTGTTTACACAGTACGACACCAAATTGGTGCCCGTCACTTGTTAATACAACTGTAAAAACAGCGGGAATTGATTTCAGCTTCACCGGTTATCACATGTTAGGTCACATGTGCAATATGCAAATGCTTACCGGTACTTCCGGCTCTCTACTCACGGATGTTGATTGTTTTACCGTGTCAGGTGGTTTGACAATCTGCATCGAGGCGAGGGTCATTTCAACTTTATTTGCAGAAATTATTAAACTTTATTCAAGGAAAAGAGATACAAATCATGTTTATGTATGGAAATAGTTATTGGAACAGTTATTTAGGACGAAATGCGAAGTTTTATTGTTAAATGCTGGGCCGGTTAACATCGCCAGTGAAAAAAAATGTGAGATCTTTGACTCCGTGTATAAGATGACCCCCCCTTCTTAACCCCCTCATTTTAGGTACGAAAAACTCGCCTTATACATAGCGATATACAGTAAAGTTAAGTTTTCCCACCAGTGACTGTAGATCCCATTTAGTTACCTTTTTAGAACCTCCAGTTAACATACCTTTGATCTGGTGGCTCACCTCCTCTATCTTGTTGAATGGTACCCTAACCTGCATTGCCACTGTGTCAATTTGCAAGCCCAAAAACGTGATGTCAGTAGTAGGATGAACTGTCTCTCTGGAGCTACGAGCACCCAAAAGAATTCAAGCATTTGCAAGCTTATATGTAGGTTATCGCTGCAATCCTGCATACCCGCTTGGCCGCCAGTTAAGAAATCATCTAAGTAGTGCATAATCTGCTGGTTTGGAAGGTGCTGCTGAATACACCACTGCAGAAAGGTACTGAAAGTTTCAAATATCGAACATGAAATTGAACAACCAAACGGCAAACATTTATCGACATACAAGCTACCTTGGAAGGCGATTCCCAGGAGTTCAAAATCTGCTGGGTGAACTGGAATAATGCGAAATGCTGATTTAACATCAAATTTGGAGAGCAAAGCTCCTGGGCCCAACTCCTGTGCCATCCTAACTGCTTCATCAAAACGGGCATACGTGACTGAGCAATCCTGTGGAGAAATGTTGTCATTAATAGACTGGCCCTGTGGGTACGAAAGGTTATGTATTAGCCTGAAGCTATCAGGTGACTTACCCTCAGCAGATGGAGTTACCAACTCCTGCTTTTTAGGGATGAGGCCTATTGGTGACACCTGTATGTTCTGGAATGTAGGGCGAATGAAAGGCCCGGCCATTCTACCCAAGTCTAACTCCTTATCCAGTTTTGCCTGAACAATGTACCTTGCTTCGGGCCCTTGTGCTGACTCAGGTTGTCCGCCAATCTGTATTTGCGAAAGCCTTGGTACCTAAGTCGAAAACCATACTTAAAACCAGAAAACAATGAAATTGCCTGTTGCTTGTGAACACTGGCATGATGCAGCAAATAAGGCTTCAAGTTCTCAATTCTTACTGGTGTTGGTGCTGTTGACATTATGCTTGCCTGAGTGGAATTGTCTGCTCTGCTGGGTGCTGCTAGCTTGGGGCCTACTGGCCCCTGTAGCTCGAAAGCAAGTTGAAACTCCATGAGAGGTACCCCCACATTTTCCACATTTATGTGGAAATTTACATGCAAACCTGAGGCACGAACACTTGTTGAAATCCCAGCAAACGTTTTGTGGGAATTCCTTAACTGATGTAGTATTACTACCTACCGTGCCGGGTGGATTCCTTGACCTGTTGTGCTGCGGAATCATGTAGCGCAGCCAC